GTACATCGAGGAAGAGAACTACAGTGGGTGCTGAAGTCAAGGGCAATGTCTCTACAGTGGCAACAGACTTGGGTGGGAGTGCCAAGTCATCAGGAAAATCTTCCTTCAAATGCCGTTGGATTCGATCGAGAAAGAAAGCATCAGGGACCACTTAGATCGAGTGAGAGCACGTGGCTGTCTCTAGCGTCTAGGAGACAAGACCAGGTAAGATTCTCAGTCTTGGAGCAATCGTAGATGGAGTTTGGATAGGGCAAGCACAAATAGAGTCTTGGTTGGTGCCAAGAAGATGTTAGAAGCTGTCAGTGCAGTGGGAGTAGAGCCTTGGTTGGTGCCAAGAAGATGTTGATCAGTTAGAAATTGTTGGTGCAGTCAAAACTGAGACATGAGGGACACTGTTGTGCATGGGAAGCGAAATTGTTATTTTGTCTCAAAGTGGGAGATTGTTGGAATTTGGATCCAAAATAAAAAGAAAAAAGAAAGAGTAAAAGCCAAATAATGGGCCAAAGTCGAAACTTTTTTTGTTTTTTTAAGGTTTCTGTACACTTGAAGTATATATATATATATATATATATATTCGACTTTATGTTTTTGTGAGCAGCAGCTGGTTTTAGGGGTTTTGGCAGCAAGTTCATGGTGGCGATTCAGGTGTTGGCAACATAGAAAGGGGCAAATCGAGATTGACGTTTTGGGTTATTATATCTTGATTATTCTGTGAATGTTTTTCATTCTTGTACCTAAGTATCATTGTGTTAAATACATAGAAGCTATTGTACTTTTTGTTGGGATCTTTAGAGAGCAAATATATGTGGGGAGATATATTTGAGAGTGTTTGTATCCAATCTCATTATAGTGGAACCCGCATCTGAGCGGAAGACTCGACGTAGCCCATAAACTGTTGGGGTGAACCAGTATAAATTTGTTGTGTCATTTATTGCTTTCCGTATATTTCTTTGTATTTTGTGATTGACTAAGATAACTGGATAGAACTGTGGAAGAGAAAATTATTTTCAGCGCATTAATTTCACAACAATATAGGATAAAAGAAAATAGATGTTTAGAAGGTCAACATTAGATTTAAAGATAAAAAAGGAGAAGAACGAAACTTGTGTAACGCTCACGAAGATTTCAAAATTGCACATTTTTTATTAATTAGTTTTGGCCCACTTAAATTAAATTAAACTCACTTTAACTCAATTAATCAAAAACCTTCTAATTTAAAAAATATGCTTACTTTTCTTTAATTAATTAAATAAAATACTGATAATAGAATTTGAACCTACCCAAGCATAGTGTCTACACAATGGACAAAGACCCATCTGATGGCACCCATTTATCATAGTAGACTTGGATGTTTTTCACTATTGTCCACCCACCCGCGAAGACCAACACTAAGAGATCCCAACCCCATATAAGACTTCGGCAGATAAAAGATGCATAGGAACTGATAGATGCTTCCAGAAAGATACGATCTTTAAAATACTTAAACTTGAGGACACATGCAAGAAGAGATGACAGATACGAGAGGATTTGCTACCCCTGTTTAGCAAGTAAGACCTAGTTAAAAAGTTATAAGTCACGAAACTCCAAACCATCCATAAATTTAGGCAAACACAAACGCTTCCAGCTAACCCAATGCAACCTACGGTCTTCATTCACTTTGCCTCACAAAAAACGAGTCATTAACATATGAATTTCATGGATCTATCTCTCGGAGAGATGAAAGCAATTCATCGTATAACACGGAATAGCCTGGATCGCAACTTTTATAAGTACTTCCTTGCCACTCACTGAGAAGAACTTATCTTTCCAACGTTGGTGACATTCCTCCTCAAGGAGCGCCAGAAAAGAACAAATAGAAGTTTGCATGGAAGCTGACATACTCTTTATAAATGACACAACTGATTTGTGATGTTACTTTCAAACATAACAACAAATAATTTGGATGAAAATTCCCTTGTAAACATATCGATGATTAATTAATTATGTTAATTCTTTATTTAGATAATTAAACTTAACTATATCAATCACCAGTTACCTAAAATATTTAACAAAAATAATAATGTTAAAGGACTCATGATAGTTGATGAATATTTAGGAATTAAAACAAAATGTTTAAAAGTTTTGGGTTTGTTTCATAAGGATTTCTGTTTTAATTTTTGGTTTTTCTATTTTCTGTTTTTTAAATAACAAAAATCATATATTTTTTAATAACCGTTTTTTGTTTTTTATTTTTAAAACATAGAAAATCAAACATGTTTCATAACCATTTTTAGCTTTCAGTTTTAATAAAGTTAGAAAGTTGAAAAGACATGATAAAGAAAGAAATTTCTATGTACAGTAGAGATGACAAGGTGTGAAGCGAGAGTGGGATGCCCTCTTCCCATTCTCGTTGTTGATGCTGGAAATTTGGCTTCCTTGGTTCTCGCTAAATGTGCACCAAATTGGATAATCACGGGACCGGATACCTGCAAAACCGAACAACACTAACTCGGTGTGACTTGAGTCACATTGGCTCTGATGCTTAAGTCAGCAATGAGAGAATTACTAAGTGAAGTAATTAGGATTTCTTTGCTTACCGTGGTTCCATTTATAGGAGTCTTGTCTTCCAGAACCTTCTCGTTGAGCCCACCTATATGTCTTCACTAGATCACAGGAATTCATGGACCAGGGCACCTCAACCAATGGGAGAGAAGAGAAAGTGGGCTCGGCCGGTGCCGAGCCAGGGTCAAGACTGAGCCCTGGCTCCTAGTTTTCAACCAAGTGGCTCCTTCCCAAATTGTTCCTAACGGGTGGTCCACGCTAATCAGTTGCTTCAACTTGTGGTCCTACCTTGGGGGCGACAAGCCTTTGACCGCTGCCAATTTCATGTCGCTTTACTATCTTAAACACAGCCCCGATGACAATTTACATTTCTATGTTAGCTCCCGAAACCAGGTCATAATTATGCGTCCTTCTTCTGTAAAGAACTGGAAAGATGAATGGTTCTTTGTTGGTGGTGACTGGCTGGCTTGTGATGACAATGAATTGCATTTTCCTATCCCGACAGAGTGTAGGGAACTAGGTGAGCAGATTTCCGAGCTCTATCGGGACTTCATTCCATGCCATTTTTTGAAGTTCTTTTCCTTTTTGTTGACAGCTCCTCGTAATTGTGAGCTCACCGCTGCAGTGTTATACTTCTACAACACTGTCATCCAGCTTCCAAACAACGAGCGGTGGGGTCCTGACCTAGTGAAGGAGCAGAACTTGGTGGATTTTAGCTTGGCACCTTCTCATCGCTCTTCAGGTAATTGTTGGGCTCTTTTTGGGATTTGCATCCACGTTGGTTTTTCATTTCCATGTTTCTTTTGTAGAAATGTCAAGGCACGTTGCCTCCCTGTTTGAGAGGGAACGTCAGAGCAATGCTTGAAACTCTGGAGCTGGATCGAGTCGAGCTTCTGATGTCGAAATAACTGATTTGACGGAGGATGACCCTCCATCCTAGTGCCAAGCTCGACCATCGATGCCTCCTACCGCACCTCGTCGTTCTGCTCGACTCCAAAGGGTATCTACATCATCCTCCTCTCGTGGTCACCCTTTTTCTGGCCCATACACAACCAACATCGATGGGGCAGCCTATCTAGAGAGAGCGTTCGACCTTTGGCAAGGACTTGGTGAATCATCTAGCAGGTCGAGCTTTCGATACTCGAATCCCCAACACAGCATCAACACCTAACTCGGTGATCTCCACTAGGTCAGCTACTGTAGTTATCCGTGTGCGTTTGAAGTAGCATGTGTTCTAACGATTGCCTTTGACCTTGGCAGATTTTTAACCTCCTGGTTGTGTTTTCGGGTAGGGTCGCTGACGAGATTAATCATCTCCGTCGCTCCTACGCTCCCGGAATGAGTTGGATTGGGCTCTTTCTTCTCTGAACCAGGCTAATAGCTTGCTAGAGAACCCCCAAAGTGACTTGGAGGCAGAGAGGATGAGGTCTTAGACTGAGTTGGCCGACCTGCAAAGAAAGCTAGATGAGGCCAAGGCTCAGCTCTTCAACTCTGAATTTTTGGCTGAAGAGTTCAAAAAGACCCTGTAGTATGTTAACTTGCAAAATGCTACCATGGAGTGCGGTGTCTCATGGCCCTTTGTCAGGTCTCCAACGAACATCCCAACATCGACTACTCCTTCTTCCTAGAGCGTTTTAGAGCTAAGTGTGATACGCCTGATGATATCGACGATGATGATGACGACGATTAGGGAAATAGCGAGTCGATCTACCACATTGCTTCCCTTTCCTTTCCATATTTTGAAAAGTTGTTCGTCATTGTCGCTGTTGTTGTTATTGTTTGAAAAGTTGTTCGTCATTCTGTTAGTAGCTACCTTTGCTCGAATTTTCAATTAAATCTCTTTTGGCATTACTATTGGTTTGCTTTCACCATTAGTCTTATTAGCCTAAGGCTCTAACTTTGGCAGAGCTGATTCGCCTACACCCAATTTCCATAGGTTTCTAACACATTGGCTGTGACCAACGGTTTTATACCTTTTGGTTTCGTTGTTTTTCTTTTGGCCTTGGCTTTTTTGCTCTGCCTTGCGTTTTAACCTTGCTAGGCTGGGTGGCTCACTTCTGGTTTGGCCTTGATTGAGGTCTTTAACCATTTTCCAACCTTTGTTGACCATTCATGCCCCCTACTTGAGGAGTATACGGAATGAGATTTACTGCTCAAGTATGTAGATAATAAGAATTTTATTGAACCAAAAAATACGGAATCAAATAATTTGTAGAACATAATCCAGGTCTCTTTTGAAAAGGAAAAATAGCAAAAGACATAAAATCCAAAAAGATGCATTATCCTAAAACTGTACTCATTAGTCAATCAACTCCAAGCAGTAGTGGTCATTTTGAGGTAGAGGTTCTACTGTCGTTGCCTCTTAATGAAGTGTAGTAACACTCGCCCGATACCCGTTGCTCCCCTTTAACTCCACCCACACCTTCTGGCATTGGGAACTTCATGGATTGGTGGTAGGTTTAGGATATCGCCTTTAGCATGTGTATGGTCGGTCTTCCCAATATAGCGTTATAAGATGAAGAGTAGTCAACAACTAAGAACTCCACCATCTTAGTGATGTTTTTCGACCCACTTCCAAACGTCACCGGTAGCTCTATCTTCTCTTCTGGAATGACTCGTTCTCCTCCGAACCCTACCAGCAGGGTCGGGCTGCTCTTCAGCATCCTATCACCCAAATCCATAGCTTTGTAGGTTGTTAGTGATATGATGTCAGTCGAGCTGCCCCATCTACCAGGATCCGATGTACCTTTGCATTGGCTATTTTAAGAGCAATGACCAGCACGTCATTGTGTGGGTGGAAGAGGTGGGTTACATCATCCTCTGAGAACTCGATCTTGGAGGCCTAACCTGAAAAGAATGTATGGTAAATGTCGTACTGCCCTAGGCTTGCCCTAGCCTCTCGCACACTCGCCTTTTTCTTCCTGCTAGACTCTCTCTCCGTTGGACTTCCCAGTACTGTCTGTATCTCCCTGGCAGGGGATTTACTGTCGCGTTTGTCGCTCGGGGTCGCCTTGGGATCATCTACATACTCCTTGAGGTATTCCCTCCGAATGAGATTCTCCACTTCTTCCCTGAGGTCAAAGCAGTCTTGTGTCGTATGGTCGTGATCTCGATGAAAGAGGCAATATCGCCCTTGCTCCTTTTGTTTGATGACGCTTTCATTCTCTTCAGTCATCTTAGCAGTCTTTGGTATTTAATCTCCATCAGCACTTGTTCGAGTGGAACCGTGGTCGGGGTGTATTTCTCGAGCATTCAGGACTGATACCTTTGATTATTTCGATCTCCTTTAGCCTATGTTATGTCCCATCTCGACCCATGTTGCTTTTCCCTTGATCTTTCTCTTTTCTACTCAGCCCGTTTTCCCTCGGGAGTTTTTTTTTAGTGAAAGAACTCCCTAACATTCATATATTTTTGGGCTCGATTCAGTTTTTCTGAAAATGTGCTCGGAGCTTTCTTTCCGAACGAGAAGGACAAGTGCTCTTCTTTTATGTCAGACATGAAAGCTAGCAGCGACATCGCATCAGTTAGTCCTCCGACTTGTAGCTTTTTCTCATTAAACCAAGCAACGTAGTCTTTGAGGCTCTTTGTTGCTCTCTACTTTATGGTTAGGAGGTAAGCTACTGATCGACTTCGGTTCCGCCCTCCCACGAACGCCCTAACCAGGTCTTTAAAACTTGAAATTGACCATCGCTACAACTGTCGAAACCAAACCATGGCCGAGCCACTTAGGGTAAAGGAAAACACTTGGCATCTAATGGCCTCGGTCACCTCGTAGATGTCCATCCATTCTCGAAAGGCGTCAAGGTGATCTATCGGATCGGTCGACTCGTCGAATTGCTTTATGGCTGGGAGTTTAAATTTTGGAGGGACCTTTTTTTTCATTATTTCCTCCGTGCATAGAGAGTCGGCCTCGTCTATCAATTCTTCGAGGTCAAATCCCTTCTCCTTCTGACTTAACAGT